TCTCTCTCTCTCTCTCTCTCTCTCTCTCTCTCTCTCTCTCTCCTCTCTCTCTCTCTCTCTCTCTCTCTCTCTCTCTCTCTCTCTCTCTCTCTCTCTCTCTCTCTCTCTCTCTCTCTCCTCTCTCTCCTCCCCCCCCCTCTCTGTCTTTTCATCTGCTCTTTTTAGTACTTTCCTTAATCACTATGCTTTTATTCCTTTTCCATAACTCACCTGTCCCATTCCTTCCTCATGCCCTATTCCTTCCATCCTTTTCCTATCCTTTCTATATTTTTTTATCATGCTTTTCAGTTCTGCCAGGTACCAAATGAGCACAAATGACTTGAATAGTCATACATTTCTTGGAAAAGTCAATGGTACAAGTTTAGGGGAAACTGAAAGTTAATCTTCAATTATATGCACTTTCTCTTCTTTGCATAATTCCACAGAGTAACTCATATTATCAGGGTGTCACAGCACAATTAAGATGTAGAAGGCTGTGTTGGGTCTAGGTAATATATCATTCTTGTTATGATAGTACATCAAATGACTTACGTATTGAACTGAATCATGCAGTCCCCCACATACTGTGCTACAAATGATTATTGCTCATTCGAGCTTGGTTTTTGCTCTTCATGTTCACAATTCTCAATATATCAGTACCTCTGGGGGGATTACATATATATCCCATAAAAGTTATAAGCCAGGCTTCCACCTAATTCTTCTGTTGATAAAATCCATTACTCTGCATATCGTCTTTTAAGTCATGCATGTTCACTGAGTTCTGAAACCAACAGGAGGATACATTCCCCTGTACACATGCTGTCTCATTAAGTTTCATTTTGTCCTAACTTGTAGTTTCAAGCTGGCTGTGTGTGTTGTAGAGGTAGCTGCAGGGTGTTGGTTTCCTATCGTTCTCTCTCCTTACTGCATTTCCTGTTACTTTAGGTAGTGAACATGATGCCCATAATATTCATGGTTGTGTTGTTGTTGTTCATTGTTTTTAATTTCATGTATTATGTATTTATGACTGGAATCCTATTGATGGACTGTTTATCTTCATTTCAAATTCACCTTCTTAAAAATTCTTTACTATAATACTCATGCTACCTGTCCATTTCTTTTTAGCATTTTTATATTTTTTTGTCTTGACATAAGCAGAATATTGTTTAATTTTATGTTATCATTATTATCATTGTCATAGATATGATACTCATTCTAACCTTTATGGAAATAGTAATATCAAATATAAAAAAGAAATAAAGTTTTTCATAATTATTCACAAATTATTATTTATTCTTTACCATAATACTCATGCTACCTGTCCATTTCTTTTTAGCATTTTTATATTTTTTTGTGTTGACATAAGCAGTTTTTCATAATTATTCACAAATTATTATTTATTTTGTAACCATGGAATAAAAGTGTTCACTGTATATAATGCTGGCAATTACAACTAATGATTTTCTTTAAAGCCTAAATGTTCTTTTGACAGCAAATTTTCACATTATTTAAAGCTCCATTTGATATCTGTGTTCTTCCTTTTTAAGAAATATAACATGAAAATGATGAATTTAAAGGGTTTAAAACTCTGTAATAGTCTCTCTCTGATTCTAAATCCCTCTCCCTCTCCCTCTCCTCTCGTCTCCCTCTCCCTCTCCCTCTCCTCTCCTCTCCCTCTCCTCTCTCCTCTCCCTCTCCCTCTCCCTCTCCCTCCCTCTCCCTCTCCCTCTCTCCCTCTCCCTCTCCCTCTCCCTCTCCCTCTCCCTCTCCCTCTCCCTCTCTCTCTCTCTCTCTCTCTCTCTCTCTCTCTCTCTCTCTCTCTCTCTCTCTCTCTCTCTCTCTCTCTCTCTCTCTCTCTCTCTCTCTCTCTATTTTGTCACTCTCTTAAAGTATATTAAACAGCAGATATGAAAATGAAATTACAAGAATCAGTAAAGTAAATTAGTATTTGTGTGGTTGAATACTCTAAGAACTTTAAATATGTGAAAAATTACTTCCTGAATATCTGTAAGTAATGCACAATAGGTGTTGTGTTCTTTAAAACTGGAAAAAACATACCTTTTTTAAGACTGCATTGATGTGTATATTATTTTACCTGCATGATGGAGTATTTCTTTTATAGAATATAGAATTTTAAAAGTTAGATTTGATATACCAAACAAAATTAGAATCACTTGATTTTGTAACCGAACTGATTGAACAATACTGTATTAAGAAATTAGTTTTCTGTTATGTTTACCGAGATTTCTTATTTTAGATTTTATATGATAGGACCAAGGCTGTAATAGTTAAACTGTAACAAACTGTCCTGTAAATATGAATCTTACAAGTGGATGTGAAAAGAAAGTATGAAAAACTATATACAGTGAGATTGTGAATGTTAATAGTATTTCTTGTTAATGGAAATTATATGTACTTTACTTAAGAGTGAAATTAAATCAAATTGAAATGTTAACTTAAGGATATCTGGATAAAACATATCAGCATTTTGTTGTTTAAGGTTGGTATAAGATGAACAAAATCATCATCATCAATAAGAGGACGAAGTAAGATTAGAACCCATACGTATAGACTGTTTACATATGCTTATGCACACCTACATTTGTAATTACACTTAATTATGATACTCAATGAGAAATTCACACACTTGCTTTGTGCTCACACTCACACTCAAATGCACTTATACAGACAAAGTATGAACAGAAATGCATATCTTTGTAAATTTAAAATCCAGTCAGATAAGAATAGAATGAAGATTGTGTCATTTTTAATTTCACCGCCAAGAACATTGCTTGGTATATCAGAGTGACATTTTCAGACTGTATAAAGTTCTTCGCATATGCTGATTACTCTGACACGTAGTTGGTAGCGCTCAGAATAATTGTCATGCACGAAGAAAGAGAAAAAAATTATCAGAATTTGAAATGGAAATAATAATGAGATATTTAGTTAAAAAGTGATTCTTTCACCACAAGACAATTATGATAAACTGACTATAAGAGAAAATAAATCAAAGAGGAAGAATGGAATATCAATTTGATATAATGGAATATTAATTTGATGTAAAGTTAAATAAAATTATTTTTAATTTCAAAATTTAAGGGATTGATTTTTAATGGCAAAGTTTAAAGAATTGATTTGTAATGTCAGAGTTCAATTAAATAATTTTATGGTCACTTGGTGCCCATATCTCTCTTTGACTGAGGTGCATATATTATTTTTTTCTCTAAAGTGTAATGTTCAAATCAGTGTTTCAACATTGTTTTATTGAGCAAGACTATAGTAATTAGAAAATCATCATTCAAATACAGGATTTTGAAATAATGCTGATTTGAGTTTTAGGTTTTAATGGTCGATATTTGTACAGTATATTTTAACTCAGTATTATACATGTTTGTATATTGTTTTAGAAATTGTATTTGCCAAATTAGCATTAGTTAAGATTAACATTTAACATGATAAAGTTTCAAGAGTTTATGAATATTTCAGTTCTTGTATATTATGCATTCATTGAATGTCAAATGATTCACCTTTACAGATAATATCTTCAATGACACATTAAAAGCAATTTATGACAATAATGCAGAATGTATCAGCCCTTGCTTCAACATCAGTGCTGTGATTCACAGTGTTATGTATGTCAGAATATAGCATGAAAAATGTAAAGTAGTATAGATATAACAGTTTTGCAAGGGGAGAAAATATACATTCTGTTCTCGTGCTCTGTTGAGTGTGAAAAGCTGTTTTGCATGCTTTGATTCTATAACTAATGTATTTTTACATTTGTTCTTACAAAACCTGTTTTTGCTTGATTTGAATCTGTAAATGAGTTTGTGTCTTCTTATAAAACATTGATTTTTTAATTTGAACTTTGGAATTTACTGTATCCTATATTTCTTGTTCTTTACAGCTATTTAGCTATGGCATTCAGACAAAGATATTTATTGAATATTATTACATGAAACAGTATCATCATCAGTAAATATTTTTTATTTGAAGGCCATGATATTTTATTTTACGTTATATTTTCATTGACTTTAATTAAGGTGAATGTAATAATGCTGAATAAAGCATCTTGTTATCATACATAAAAAAACAACAACTAATACTATAGTCTTTTAGGAAATTTTGAATTAGGTTTCATTGTTATGAGACTTAAAAAAACTATTGTCACATCATAGAAGAGCAAGTGTTGCATTAGATTCTATGATGATATTGGAGAGTATGTGGAAGTGAAGATACTGGAGTCTGGTTGAATTACGATGAATGTACTGTGTTTAATGAAAGAAAATGTGAACTGTGTAAGGTAAATGTGCACTGTACTTTTGTGATAGTTACATACATAGGGCCATTAGATTTTCTTGATGGTTGGGAAATGCTAGTTCTGCAGTGACGTCATTTTCTTTTTTCTTAAGTTTGTTTTTGATGGCAGTTCATACTGATCGCTGAGCAAAATGGCTTTGGTGGGTGAGGCTTTTTTAGGTTGAGACTGTGAATTTGGTGCCTTTCAGATACTTGAAGAGGACTTGTTTTTTGGAGTGTTATTGCTTGATATGATTGGTATTAAGTAATCCTGCTTATCATACAGTCTTTGTTTTGAGTTGTGTGTGATGTGTACAGCTGTTCAAGAGCAGTTGCTTGTCTTCGTGGAGTTTGATGTCGTGCAGATGAATTGTTCGCATGCATGTACAGTTTATATTTCATTTGCATAAGGGTAAGTTAGCGCATTGTATGTGTTTATTTCTGATGTAACCTTAGCTTCAGTGTTGGTTAATTGGTACATTCAAAGTATGGAAATTTATGTTATGAATATTAGCTGGTTGTCAAATATAGGGTTGGAATGAGACATATGGGTTTGGTTATATGTATGCAAAGAATATGACCAGAGCTTATAGTTTTGTTACCTAAAGAAATATCAACTTGTGCAAAGAAATGGTAGGAGGACTGTGTAATTAGTTGATATCCATTGCCTATCCATTGTTTTTTTGTTTTTTTTTAGTTTTAGATTATTTTCACTATTA